CTACATATTTAGATTATATTTACTTATATATATACATATATTTGTATAAAAGATATATACGATATACATAATATAAAATCTATATTTATGTGTATATATATGCGTGTGTGTGTGTGTGTGTGTGTGTGTGTGTGTGTGTGTGTGTGTGTGTGTGTGTGTGTGTGTGTGTGTGTGTGTGTGTGTGTGTGTGTGCGTGCGTGCGTGCGTGCGTGCGTGCGTGCGTGCGTGTGTGTGTGTGTGTGTGTGTGTGTGCGCGCGCGTATGTGTGTGCGTGTGTGTGTGCGAGTGTTTGTGTGTGCGTGCGTGCGTGCGTCCGTGCGCGTTCGTGTGTTTGTGTGTGTGTACCTTTATACGTATGTATGTATGTATGTATGTATGTATGTATATATTATGTATGTATATATGCATGTATGCATTTATGCATATGCATATATCTATCTATCCATCTATCTATCTAAATATATATATGTTTATACATACATACACATACACACATCTATCAATCTACATCATTAATGCCTGATCTATATCCCATATATGTCTACATACCGCTCTTCTAATCATAACAATAATAATGTTAATAAAAAATATTTTGCGCATGTTTTTTTCCGCCTTAATATCAATCTGTACCAGGATTCACCTACTCATGCATATATGCATTTTCTACACTTGTTTTTCGTTATACTTCTGCCACCGCGACCATTCCGCGCTTAACCATTCCAGTTGTATGCCCACCATTCTTCTCTATTGTATAACCAGCAAAAAAGGACCTTTACATCAACATATCACTGATAACGATCGACGAAGCTACCATCTACTTCATTAAAATTACCATCACTATCTCTGGCCACATCAACAATGTCGTCACTGCACAAAAACTTGCATTCCAATACACCATTATCACCATCAAAACCCTCCTTCAAACAAAAGAGAAAAAAGAGAGAGAAAATAAAAATAAATAAATGCCCATTTTATCCTCCGATGCAGCCATAATCGTCAACTGTCATTATCATCATCAAAGATCACTATCATCGAAGTATATCATACGCGCCGACACAATCCTCACTATCACCTATTCACTGTGGCCTTTCTCTTCCTCCCCCCCCCCCTAATTATCCATATAAACAGCCGAACCACAGATCCCAATCTACCCCCCCCCCCCTCCCAAGTCCTCTCCCCTCTCACCTCGGCCATTCGTGTATTACAGTTAACACCTGTGTTACAAAGGTCGGCGGTGCTACGGTAAACTATTTCTTCGAACTAAAATCTCGGTGCTTAATTGGTGTTAATATTAACGATGTAGTAGGAATAATGTCTGTTATAATTTGATGAAGCTGGGACTGGTTATCGTAATGTAGTGGCTTCTCTCTATGCCTATTTAAGAATTGTACAGCAGGATATGATAGCAAACATACATATATACATATACATATACATATACATATACATACATACGTAAGTGTACACACACACACACACACACACACACACACACACACACACACACACACACACACACACACACACACACACACACACACAAACCTATAGACAGCATGGCAGTTCTGTAAGCACAGAGGCAAAACATAACAGCATCTTTCCTCCTCCAAGAACAGCAGCTGCAATATACAAAATTTCACCCAAATTCCGAAATTCGCCACAGCGCGTTCAGAAAACCACAGCACCACATCCCGGTTCAGCCGAGGTTAACGTAAGTCACTATCGACAAGTGTACCGATAGATAGATAACGTAGTTTATCGGGGCTGATGAGCTCGTTAAGGCCAGCAGCGAGTATAGGGAACCACCGGTTGATAAGAAAACCTTTTGTCCGCAATGTGTGAATTCCTGAATAAATTATTGCTACAAATACTGGAAGATTCGACCATAATCCCGTTGGTGGTAAGGATCTTCTGGTTATAAAGAACACCAGCGCATTATCCGTACGCGATGTCGGAAAAAAAAGAAAAAAAAAAAGAATGATAGATAGAAAAAAAAAAAACGAAAAAAGAACAGAGATAGGAAAAGGCGGTCCCGGCGGTTGGGTATGAACCAAATCCCGCACACTGAGATTGAAGGTGAGGATTTATAAAGCAAGTGAGTGTACCTTTACTGGATCTCCCAAGGCCCTGGGAATCTCTGTGAAGTGTGGAAGGGAGTGAGACTAACATTCTATTTTAGGGACATTTGCGTAAACAGGGCCTTGGGGATCTACGCTTATATATTTTTTTTTCAAAACCTTAAAAAAAACGAAAATATTTTCTTCGACGCCAACCCCTCCCCCCATCGCCTTTTCTTACGTTCTCGTTTATACTCTCGATAACAGTTTAATGCCTCGTTAATGTATGTTCTCATAATGGCTAGAGATAAGCCTTTTAGGGAATTTATCACCAGTAATGAGGCCTCAAGACACGAGAGCAAAACATAGGCGTTCATTCCGGATTTTCGTCACGTGGGAACACCGAGACCAGAGTCTTCAATTACACATGTGTCCTTTTTATTCAGGCTACGGTGCCCTGTTAAATCAGAGTACGATTTGTGATGTGTTTTTTCGTGGTATAATGTATGCTGTAATCTACGGGTGATGGTTAAGCGATGGCGATGATGCAATAATCCTTGTAATAGGTCGAAAATAATGGTCACGTTTGTTTTCTCGTCGGACAGGCGCCGTGGACGTGACAGTGACGGCTCTCCGTTTGAAAGTTTCCCAACTGACACACGGCCGTCAGCGAATGACGCAACGGCGCGTTTGAGCATGGCTGCGGGCACGGCGGGCCTCGCATCAAAGTCGGCCAGGAGGGGAGAGGTCGTGGTCATTACGCATGCATAACCAGGCTCATAAACGGCAGTACAGCTCGTGCTGGTGACGTATGCAGAAGCAGCAGCAGTGGAAGATACGACAGCGTGGCAGCAGCGGCGGCGGCGGCGGTAGTGTCAGCAGCAGCAGCAGGACTGGCCGGGCGAGGAGCAGGGGTCGTCAGCTGGCAGGCGGAAGGTTGGACGGGGGCAGCTTCAACCAGGATGGTCACCCCCGCACCACGCTCTTTGTGCCAGGCCAGACACAACACAACCTTCTCCTCTACGCTCTCGTCAAATTAACCCTCCCCCATAGTCTCGCTCTCCGCGCTACCGGAGGTTGCCATTGGCACCATGCCACAGCAGGAGTGAAGGGGAGCCCGGCGTGTGGCACCTGGAGCGCCGTGCAGAGCCACAATATCGCGAGCGTCGCAATCACGTGGCAACCGAGCGCACGTGGCCTCCAGACTACCCTCGGGCCATCGTCTGTCCACTCTTTACTGACCACCGCTTTTTTGTGGGTCTGACCTTCGACCCGACTCAGTAATCGGAATATTTCATACATACATACATATGTATATTAGAGTTTTATGTTCTCATATACATCCATAAGGACGGGTGACCTAGGATCATGAGCAGGAGAAATGGGCGACCCAGTTGGTGTCCCCGGAAGCTGACCTGCCGAGGCTACCACGCACGTTCCTATACTTCCTGGCCCGCCCATTGGTCCTTGCCGCCACCAATCAGCGGCCAGATTGCTCCCCCCCTTTCTCCCTTCCCTCCTCCGTCATGATAACCCCGCAATCCTCCCTCCCTCCCGAGTATCATCGCTTATTACTCGTTCGAACAGGATTCTAAGACGCTAGCCTATCCTCTCTCTACACGCTAGAATAAGTCACAACGTAATGCAATCAAAGTGATATCAAAGCGGCCTGAGACCCCGAGATCTATCGTGAACTTTAGCCGAGATTTCGTGAAGGTGCGGGAACTAGCCTCAGAGCCTGACCTCGGCGCTGACCTTAAAGACAAAGTGGTTCCCTCCGAGGCGGCTTCCTATTGGCCAGCCTCGGACCTGAATAGCGCCCCTCCATTTCAGCCACTGACCAATGGCAAGACCTCCCCAGCAAGAAACCTGACTAAATTGCAACAAAATGCAATGCCTACAAGCGCGATCCCGACGGACAGAACACAAAGATGAAAGCGCCGGGTAAACATCTCACTCTCGCCAAGCGCAGGTGTGGCGTGAGTGTGCGAGAACCTGATTACGACGATGATAACGAACCTCTTCCGCCGAAGCGATTCAATTATGGCGACAGAGAGAGAGAGAGAGCAGAGAAGCGCGAAAAAATACTCGCCGTTTCCACCTTCGTACGCCGCCGCGCTGCACCAGGGGGCAGAGACGGAGGGAAACGCTAATGTTTTTGTGTGGACATTATTCTGTGACGTGCACAAGGTCTCTCCGATACCAAGTTTCCCGAGAAGTTTCTACTTTAGCGTTCCAGACTGAGATTTGATCTTGCTATCAGCTGCGGGGTTGCCAGCAAGCGCTTCGCAGTTCCATGGGAATTTTTGAACGCTTTTGCATTGAAGGGACATTCGGACACTCCCGCTTGCGACACTCCAGGACGGGCGTCTCTATGCAAATGATAAAAGTATCAAAGAAAGAAAAGCACGCACACACACACACAGATATATATATATATTATGCATATACATACATATATACATACATACATACATTGTGTATGTGTGTGTGTGTGTGTGTGTGTGTGTGTGTGTGTGTGTGTGTGTGTGTGTGTGTGTGTGTGTGTGTGTGTGTGTGTGTGTGTGTGTGAATACATGTGTGTGTGTAAGTGTGTAAGTGTGTGTGTGTGTGTGTGTGTGTGTGTGTGTGTGTGTGTGTGTGTGTGTGTGTGTGTGTGTGTGTGTGTGTGAGAGAGAGAGAGAGAGAGAGAGAGAGAGAGAGAGAGAGAGAGAGAGAGAGAGAGAGAATATGAGAGAGAGAGAGGGGATATGAGAGAGAGAGAGACAGAGACAGACATACAGACACACACACACACTCATACACTTATAAACTACACTCGCTCGAGCATCTGAAGTAATAAAATATGCGAAGGAAATACGGCATAATTCCTAGATGTTTTCCTCTGCTATATTTGGCCATGCGCGAGGGTCCGTAGTACTCAGGAAGTCTCAGTCTACTCAC